AATATCAAGTTTACCTGTGTAAGATGGCGCCGGGATGGGATCTGTTTGTTTTTTTATTTTCATGTATTTACCCGAGTTTTAGTACTTTTATTGACGAGTCTGGGTGATGAGTAGATTCAACCTAAAACCGACTAAGTGTGACAATTTGGTCTCTGAGATACAAAAGAAAATCACTATTTGGTCTATAATGGGGTATGGTTTTTGAGGTGAAACGGTCTTATATGGGGGTCTGGAGTTTTACTTCACGGCCGCACACCCCTACCAAACTGAAAGGCCATTGACCCCCCCTCCCCCCGATTAAAACACGGTGTAGATGGTCCATGTAGGAAATCGGACACATAAGAATGTACATATTAGTTTTGTTCGTTTAAAGATCTTGAAATCCTCACTGTGTGTATAGTACATGTGGCTATGAATTACAGTGATTTTATTTCACAATGTTAATAATGCATAGAATATGTTACGAAATTCCGTTCATGAAAGGTCAAACTAGACAAACCGGGAAATAAACATTCAAGCAATATAAACGAGAATTATTACCTGCCCGACCGTGGATACAAAGAACCGGATTTGGTGCTAGGTTTCAACTCAAGTTGTCGTATCAGTGTCGTGTGTGTACAAATAATACAATATGATAGCGACTTTGAACGTGATTGTACTAGACTACACGGTGTCTGTATGACAACGATACTTGACCCAATGGATGTACATGATTCGTTTAAGAACGCATCACTGCAGCAACGGGGGGGGGGGCAAATCAAGGTCAATGACATTCCGCACATCTGTTAGATTTTCCCTCAGATTTATCTTGAAATTAAACTCAAATTTGAGACAATGCGACGAAATAGAACATATTTCACTTTCCCAAAGAGGCCGAGTATTGTTTTAACAATACGTCGGATACCGTATGTGTTTCCATGGAAACTTACGGGTAGCCAATCATTTTATTATGTTATTTACGTGGCGAACTGTAACGTTTTACTAAGTTTCCAACGGTAGATATTCTACTGACTTAACTCTAGAATATTACACTGAAACTGACAATGTATAATCGGAAGACATTTTTCCAGTGATGTCTCGGGAAAGCGTCTTTCGATTAATATATCATACTGGTGTATATACTATTTAAGGTAGATCGATACTTTGCTGACGTCATCCCAACGCGTCGTTTGTGCAAGACCTTACATTTGAGTAACTGCGAAATATTGAAGTAAACTGTGACATCAGCAGGAAATATAAAGTTAAGAAAACCTCCAAACAAGGCCGAAAAAAATACGTATACGCCGACAGAAAGCGCGATTTTACATTGACCGTCACGTAAACGCGTGTCTCTAATTCTGAATGGTAGAACAAGTGTTCTATGGTTATAAATTTGTTTATGTGTTCGCTTACAGGATTGTAACAATAAATTTATCGTGTTTTGCAAACGATTTAAGGATGTATTTGTTTACTTGTCCGAGTCGTAAAGTTCGCTTAAAATTAAGACGAGGTTCAAGGTTTACTAACAACAACATACCACTGTCACAGCGCATGACGGTGGGGTCTCACAAATCCGCTCACTTGTGGTGATTAAAAACTACAAAAAAAAAAAAAAAAACAAAAAAAACTACAACAAAACACTGACAATCACGTATTTGTGTGACATACCTATCAAACCACACACGATATAAGAGCTCTTCAATAAAGCAATTGTTCCACTTCATGTTGAGATACGTGTTGTGATATTAAAGTTTCTCAAGAGTTTTATGGCCCTCGTTTAATGTTTTTAAAGCTGAGCGATGATTTATTCTCATGGTAGTCGCATATACTGCCTTAATATCGCAGTAATTTGGTCAGTTTTCGTTCAATTTTAACAGTAACAATTGCACGGTCGTTTATGCATACACCACACGCCTGCCCAGTGTCGTATTTGCAACAGCTGCCTTTTCACACGTTCAACCTGAACAAAATGCTCGACTAAACTAAATTGGATACAATTAACAAAGAACTACCAAGCTGCAATTCTAGCCTGACAATGGATATTTAAGGCTGAGACAAAAATATCTCTGTTTCTCGTTTCCGCGCGCATCATTTTGAACTATGCGCCTCGATTTGTTTCTCTTCTAAAGCATTCCAAAATGCGCTTGTACTCGCACTTGTCTCAAATTTCCCCCATTTTAGCTCAGTCTTCAAAAAAAAAAAAAAAAAAAAAAAATCGCCTCGCCGCCTCATTTTAAAATTTCCATGAAACGAGAAACAGAGATTTTTTTTTCCTGGTCTAAGAGTACTTGCTCATATGTATGCGGTTCTCGCGGTTTAGCGCGTAGCTCAGATTTGCTGTTTCATTTCGAGCTAAACTATGAAGAACTACAGCGAGTTAATCTTTTCACTTTTTTAACATTAACTACGCAATAGACCACGCGTTATCCCCACGCGCGGATTTAGGGGGAGGCGCGCCAGGCGCCCTCTTCAGCCCGCAATTGACAAATCAATTGAAAAAAAAACAAACAAAAAACAGCCCAACGGAGGTGCGCTGACGTAGCCTTCGGCGCCCCTTACCGAATTTCTATATAAGCAAACGTCGTGTTGCGATTCGATAACTTCAGACAAACTCTCGTCTGTGTACAGCTTTTAATTGTCAATGCTAGTAACACTTTATGCAAATAATTTAAAACCACTACAGATTTGTTTTATATTTTACTATGTTTCATTAAGTAAAAGGTCAAATGTATAAAAGAGGACGGTAACCGACCGTTTTATAGAAATGATAGTATAACAAATATTAAATTCTACAGTGTTCATTATGTTTAACTATCAATTTCGTTTGACTGAAATTCCATGACATTGAAGTGTGAAGTGATTATTAAGTTCACGTTTGAAAAGTTCAAATTACCCACAATGCACTGCCCCACAACAAACATGGCCGCTGAATTGATGCAGTACAACTTGGTAGGATGCGGCTCGGTATTTATGATATTGTTACAGCTGTGTAGTAATTTTTGACTCTATGATGTGTATCAACTGGGAAAATTGTCGCGCACATTACCGTGTTCAAGCTAAAATTACGTGTTAGCGGACAATACGAGTTAATACATAACAACACGGCTTTCTGTTATTAAAAGCCACGGGCACGGAACATAACTGTGGCGTATTACCTCTTCGGACTCAAAATGCCGTGAAACTTGGTCGACACTGCGACACACAGTCAGGTAAAATAGCGGCGAAAATTCATCACATTTTTTTTTTATATCAAACGTGGCAAATAATTATTGCTTTCAACACAATTTGTATATTGGAAAAAAAATGTCTGCAAAAACGAGCAGTTTTGGAACATTTTTCATAGGAATTAATATCGAAGCATTATTCTATTAAAACTAAATGATATTCATCAGAATTTTCTAATTTAATATGTCAAATGTAAGTTACGTTTAATTTGTTCACCATATCGTACTGTATATGTAACTGATATGAGTCCCTTTGACCGTACAAACCAATGCTATATATCGCAAACATCACCATTTACATGGATGTTTGACCCAAAGGGGGGATACTTCCACATTAAGTGGGTAGGGGTGTGCAGCCCACCTCTCGTAAACCATACTCACTTCTAAACAATTGTTTTTTCTATTTATATACCCATTTTTAAACATGTTTTTAGCGATCTATATGGCTTACAGCTGTTCGGAGAATTATTCAGACAGTCAGTTAGCAATATATCGTGGAACTTTGCAAAACACTTGAATCTTTTCCAATCTAGATTTGACAGCGCCGTTGTATTGGCATGCCCACAATTGGGGGCATTGCATTATCTTGCTAGATACGGGTAAAATGCTGTTTTTAAAACGACACGCATTGGGTACCATACATTAACAGGTTATATGTTGTATAGGCATTCAAAGTGTTATTTTAAATTGGTATAACTGTCTGAGTCCACCTGACATAGCGCAATTTGCAAAACAACTCCTGAGTGTTGAGTAACCCCGAGTATTAATGAACTAGTTGTTGGCGGGAAGGCTCAAAGCTGAGTTCATTAGCATTGGACGCGCTGCAGTATCGCGACAGTTTTGAGCCAAACTAAAAGTTGTTTTTACATTACTGGTGCATTATGTATCAAATTCAGATTTTATACCGAGGTGGGAGAGTACGTCAGGGATACACGGACGAAAAACTTGATTATAACGGTTTGATGGACTTTGTCAAATCAAAAGTGCCTTCCTTGAGCAAATCACTTTTTCAACTGCAGTTTGAATGGTTTCTGTATACGCACGCTAGATAATACTTGCAATTCACCATGCCGACAACCCCTATGAAATAGTAATGCCAAACCACGTGCCCGCCAATCAAGTGGCGCCGACAAGTCTAGATTGGGCAAAGACCAAAGTGTTTTGCAAAGTTGCAAGTCATTTTGTTAACTGACTGTCGGATAATTCTCAGAACGACTGTAACACATGCAGTATACACATACAACTTTTGTAACCAGTGAGCGCATCCAGGCGACGCATTTTATTCAGCTTTTTCCAGTACCTGGCTTTGAAGGACCTTTGAAAAAGTAAATAAATGCTACACACTTCTAAACCAAAACATTGATATTATGATAAACGACTACCCACTTCTAAACAAAAAAACGTAAAATGCACTTCTATGGAAGTAGCCGCCCGGGGGTTTGACCCATCTGTCTAAATCAAGGGTATATAGCTGCAGGATCTTTTGTAGCTGTTTTTATTATCTTTTATTGGACTACTTCATCACTTTACTCAGGCTGAAGACGACCTGTAATAAAATGAATAATAAGAACAAAAATCTATAAACAGCTCCTCCAAAGATGGCTTCTGTGTCCATTTTGACAATATGTGCTATTATCAGCTATCATTTTTAGAAACCAAAAACGCAAACTCTGGTTTTTGCATTTGGTAATACATATATTGCGGGCTGGGCATGACCAGGGGTGGAGTATTCAGATGTTTACACAGTAATGCAAGACAATTTTCACTAGCATATCCTATTTACTTTTTCCCATACAGTTATATTTCTCATTGTTGGCACAGTGACAGTCCTGGAACAAGATGAACAAATGTTCATGCTGGGTGCAAAACAGATGGGTATGACCAACGGCGATTTTGTCTTCATTAACTTTGAGATATTTACAGACCGACCAGAAACCCAGTATTGGGCTCCTCTGTTGCCAAGACATGAAGACAAAACTGCTGATTTGTTAGTAGCATACAGGGCAATGTTACATGTTACGTACAGGTCAGTTGACTTTTAGTAATCACATTACAGATACATAGAAAACTTGGGATATCAGTGTCATTGAAGCACAGTGCCATTGAATCATAGTGCCACTGAATCAAACTGCTTCTAAATTACAGAACCTCTGAATCACAGTGCCACTGAATCAAACTGCTTCTAAATTACAGAACCACTGAATCACAGTGCCACTGAATCACAGTGCCATTGAATCACAGTGCCACTGAATCACAGCACCATGGAATCACAGTGCCATTGAATCACAGTGCCGCTGAATTGCAGTGCCACGGAATCACAGTGCCACTGAATCGCATTGCCATTGAATCACAGTGCCACTGAATCACAGCGCCATGGAATCACAGTGCCATTGAATCACAGTGCCATTGAATCACAGTGCCATGGAATCACAGTGCCATTGAATCACAGTGCCATTGAATCACAGTGCCACTGAATCACTGTGCCACTAAATCGCATTGCCATTGAATCACAGTGCCACTGAATCACAGCACTATTGAATCACTGCAACTAAATCACAATGCCACCAAATCACACATTTTTCTGATTCTCATGTTTAATTATGTTTACATTAATCTTTGAGTTTTATTGTTGTATTTATGTGTAGTCTGCCATGGGACGATGGATTTACAGAATTTATGGATGAAGTCATACCAAGAATGGCCGATCCACCTTTTTATCTCAATATAACAGAGTTTGAGGTAAAAAACTACTTTTCAACAACACAAACATAAGTTTTGCCACTTAGATTGTTTTTTGCATATATCTGAATTCCAGTCTTAGAATGTGGAACCCTGTTTGTTTGGAATTAATTTTGAGCATTTTGGATTGCTGAAATGTATTGGAAAATAGCCTCAGCAGACGCTGTGCTTAAGAAAATATCATTTTAACTGAGATATGTAACCTTGAATTAGATTCCAAACATTTATAAATGAAAGTGGTAACTTTAACAGCGCTATTAATGTGAGTTCATATACTTTGAATGTGCGGCGTAAAATTCTCCTAGTACAAACTATGTATAGGTTAGATCACAGTTCGAGGTGACTATGAGAATTTGAACGAAGGCCATAAGCCCAAGTTCTAATTCTCATAGTCACTGAGGGGCGTGATCTAATCGACTTAGCACTGTACAATCAGCCCTAGAAAAGATTCTTATTAATTAGCCAATCAAATGATGACATTTTGACAGCAATCAAACTTGTGAAATAACATTTTAGTACATTTTGTTGAAATGTTGCAACGATGGCCTACGTGCTGCGAGTAGTGTCAGTTGAATCGAGCGTAACTCAATGGATACTATGTATTTGATATTAGTGTTATAAATAAATTGTTGCAATGAAAATCCTTTGGATTTATTGTGTTTTTTCAGCCGGGATCTAAGTGAAATAGAACCACACTTTATCACAAGTCTGATTAGTCGAGGGATGTTGGCCATGTGTTAATATGAACTAATTGAATATCTTTTTAACAAAAACATTTTGCTTTCAATCAAATAATTACAAAGTTTGTATTTACCAATAGGCTAGTGTTATGGCTGGATATCTATACGATGCTGTTCTGTTAATTTCTTATGCTCTTAATAAAACATATGAAATGGATCTGCCAAATCATAATTCCTACTTGGTAGCTGAAAATATGAGAGATATCATATTTGAAGGTAAGGTATTAATTCACTGTATGGCATATATCAGTCAACTACACAGTATGATTTGAGTATTTTTTTGTATAAGTCAATTCACATAAATTACATGCATGAAGTTAAATGGCAAGGTACTCATGCTGCAGATGTATGATATGAATCCAATATTATCAAAAATGGTGACTTTGACTAGGTAATTTCTGACATCAAAGTATACTGTACTGTTGAAAAGTCAAAGTCATTATTTGGTGCACAACACTACCAGATGAAAAATTGCATTCATGCTTGCTTTTGTGAGAAAAAAACCTTGTTTATCAACACAAATCTTACACATGCATGGCATGGCAACCACCATCCATCCACACAGGTTATTGACCATGTGTTATGTGGCTGTATTTGAAATATGTTTAAATAAAAAATCATTTTACTTACATCAACCATGTCAATTATAAATAGACTTTGAAAAGTTACTTACAATGTGGTTTGATTTCAGGAGTGACAGGCACTGTAATAATGGATGAAGAAGGAGATAGAAGATCTATATTTGTTTTACAAGATGTTCAGGTCAGTGTAACTATAAACACACTTGTAACACTATAAACACACCTGTAACACTATGAACACACCTGTAACACTATGAACACACCTGTATCACTATGAACACATCTGTATCACTGAACACACCTGTAACACTGTGAACACACCTGTATTACTATGAACACACCTGTAACACTATGAACACACCTGTATCACTATGAACACATCTGTATCACTGAACACACCTGTAACACTGTGAACACACCTGTATTACTATGAACACACCTGTAACACTATGAACACACCTGTAACACTATGAACACACCTGTATCACTGAACACACCTGTAACATTATGAACACACCTGTATCACTATGAACACACCTGTAACATTATGAACACACCTGTATCACTATGAACACACCTGTAACACTGAACACACCTGTAACACTATGAACACACCTGTATCACTATGAACACACCTGTAACACTGAACACACCTGTAACACTATGAACACACTTGTAACACTGTGAGCACACATGTAACACTGTGAACACACCTGTATCACTATAAACACACCTGTAACACTGTGAACACACATGTAACACTGTGAACACACCTGTAACATTGTGGGCACACATGTAACACTAT